AGGAGCGTCAATCCCTCTCACTAAACAATCTTAAATGTGCAAGGGCGCCAACTCAGACCCATTTCATCTTAATAATCAAATTCCGCTGCAGAAAAAGCTTCATAATAATAATAATAATAATCACTTTATTCCACAACAATAACAATTTACAGCATGGAATTTTCAGCGTTTCTTTTACATACTGCAATGGTTTAGCTCTGTTTATAATTATATAAATGTATAAAATGTTAAAATATTGATAGTTAATAGGAAAAAATAATAAAAGAATAAAAATAAAAAAAATAAAAATAAAAAAACCCAACAAATGCATACCATTTCTAGGTCATAGTGAATAATAAATAAATAATATAACAAATAACACATGCATTAATATGCATCATTTCATTTTATAGTTTAGTTATTGATTCAAAATTTGTAAAAGTTCTTTTCTGATATTTGTCTCTTCACACAATACTCGTGCCAAATATGGAACGGTCGAATTTTTATATTTTGTAGTACGAGCATAAATGTTTATAAAATTTCTTCTGGTCTTACCCGAAGAGATACAAGGGAACAATTGTGAATAAAGAGGATGTTCACTATCAGATAAGATAACTTTAGCTAAGTGTTTACAAGAATTCATATGCCTATTGACAACAGTTCAGTCAAAGGGATAGCACTGACCCTACTTACAGCCCTCAATGTTCTTCGTAGTATTATATGATCTTTCTTGAGTAGCCCAGGGAAGAATAATGGAGAACAATAAAGAATGATGGGCAAAACACATGAATTAATAAATTGTATGATAAGAGATTGAGTTATACCTGAGTGTCTCAACTTCTTTATGTAATAAGTCAGACGGAAAACTTTCTTAGAAACTATAAGAATATGAGACGACCAGCAAAGATTTGACGAGAAACTAATGCCAAGATAAGAAACACTTGACTTACTCTCAATCATGGTACCATCAATATTACAACAATCATGAGATTGAATCAATCCATGCATGTCTTTTTCACTTCTCAAGCTGAAATCAACAGTGTTACATTTAGTTGGATTTAGTTTAAGACCATTTGAGCGAGACCAATCCTTAACTTCAGCTAGGAAGCCATTCATATAGGAACAATCCGATGTGGAAACTACAGGGACAGAAACGGTCAGGTCATCAGCATACTTAATGAAGTTAACTTTGGGTGAGTTCGGAAGGTCATGCAGAAAGAAAGAGAAAAGAAATGGAGAAAGTACTGCACCTTGAGGCACACCACTTTCAGTTAGCTGGGAAGTGGAGCGCTTTCCAGCCAAAACAGTATGCTGTTTCCTATCCTTAAAATAAGAAGACAGCCATCTAGTTGCCCAGGACTCTGTTTGAGCTGAAATCATCTTTCCTAATAAAAGTGTCCTAGGAACAGAGTCGAAAGCTGCAGTATAGTCTAAAAAAGCTGTTCGAACGAACTTAGCACCCTTATCAAGGCAGGAAACAATATTGTGGTGTAGTACAATGGCTGCATCTAATGTACTTCTTCCACACTTATAAGCAAACTGCTTAGGGTCACTAAAAGCTTTTAAAGAAGGTTTAAGAATATACAAAAGAAGTTTCTCCATAGTTTTCAAAAAAGGAGATGTTATAGCGACTGGTCTAAACTTTATACCTGCTCCAGAAGATGATTTCTGTACAGGTACAACCTTGATTTCTTTCCAGTCAGCAGGTACCGTTTCCCTCTTAAATGATGCGTTAAAGATTTGAGTAAGAGGATGACACAAGATGTCTGCACACTTTTGGAGAAGAATGCTTGGTACACCATCTGGACCAAGGCTGTGTGTTGGATTTAATGACTTCAAACATAATAGTACATCCTTTTCTTCAAAACCCTGAAAATGACCATTTTCTTGACTAGGTACATCAGGTACAACCATATTAATTTGTTTCTTGATAAATGATTTGTTTAAAGCATTTACATCAGAATAAGCATCAACGGACATTTGTTTTTTACTTGTTAGTTTATTGAAAAGTTTCCAAATGTTTGAAGGATTTTTACATGATAAAAATTTTTCATTATATAGTCTGTTCAACCTTTCTATTTCAATTTTTATAAGGGTGTTTATTTTACGGACACCAGTATTATCACAATTCTTATACAACTTCTCTTTTTGTCTTCTAAGTTTTTTCAGTTGCAAAGAAGAGATTCTGTCAAATCTCGAAAACAGTGTTTCATAAGGACAGCAAATATCCAAACAAAACTTCAGATAATCGGTTATATTAGAGACAGTAGCATCCAACTTATCGTCAGTAAACAGTTCCCAGTTGGTATCATGCAACATGCTTCTTAATGCTAGAATGTTGTCATGGGAATATGAACGTTCATGTATCTTCTTTGTTAAATGACTAAACAATTTTCGTTGTAACTTGCCGTACACTTTCGGTAAAATACGAATAATGCAGTGGTCAGAATTTAGCAAAGGAGCTCTCCTTCGGGTTTCATATACATCACGGTCATTTATGAAAACCAGGTCTAGTGATTTGTCCAGACGTGTATTAAACTTGACTAGATTCTCATGACCAAGCGAAGTAAGAAAGCTGTGATCACATGAATTAAAATCACCACAGACTATAGACAACGAGTTTCCGAATGCAGGAGCAGCGAATTCAGTAAACTCATCTGCAAACATAACTATATTAGAAAGGCTACAATTGGGTGTTATGTAAATATTTGTTATGTATATATAAGAATATTTACTTAAGTGTTTTGGGCGACACCTGACGGTTATGCAATCTATACTGTCATTAGAATAATTGAAGCAAACGTGATTTGATGTAGACCAATTTGTGTTTATATATGTGGCTACCCCTCCTCCATATTTTTTCTTGGAACTATTTCTATCTTGGCGAAAAACTTTATATCCATTTATTGAAATTAGATTATCATCATAATGCTGGTGCAGCCAAGTCTCTTGTATTGCTAAAACGCCAGCATTTCGATAAACATTGGAATACATTAGGGATTGAAGGTAATCCATTTTGTTGGACAGGGATCTACAATTAGTGCTAACGAGTTCAGGAACAGTCATTTGATTAATTTGTGTACGTTTCAGTGCACGCTGCCAGCCACAGTGATGCTTTTTTCTCAATTTTTGTGGATGACACAACGCGGTAGGTTGTAATGATTTTAAAAATGCGCGATTATATATAATACGATTAGGACACATTATTGATAAATTAAAACAAAATTAAAAGAGCAAACCAAAGCAATTTTGCAAAATGTTGTAAGGTGGAATTTTTGGTAGCCCTATGTTCAAGCAGGCCGCCATGGCGAACAAATGAGGCTAAAATGACAGCAGTGAATATGAGGTAGACAAAATCAATTCCATCGAATTTAGGGTGAGTTTTGTCGGTGTTTTATAGTGACTCAGCAAATGTTTAGCTTGTTGTTTTATGTACACTTGCATTTCACTGTCCTCGATGTATTGGTTGACTTTTGTAGAATGCTCAGATGTAAGTCCTTAAGCAGTCCAAGAGTATGATGTGGCTTGAAATGGCAAATACTAATCTTAGTCACTCACACAAAAATAATACTTAAATGATTGAAGCATTCGCTAGTATAAAGTGTTAGACCACAGTAATGGACGAGTCAACTACGTACACCCATAAACCTACGTTGGTCAAACTATGAGATGTCCTAATCTCACGTTTGCTTCTGTTTGCATACGATTGTCGGTTGGATAAGATAACTGAAGAGATTAAGTCTTTTCACATATAGCTACAATCAGCTTATGGATAACTTAAAAATTGCCTATACAGTAACAAATGACCAGAATCATCCAATCAAATGTATTCTGCCATGTAATGCCTTCCTCGCACCAATCCATGAAGAAAATCGCTTCAGAGAGCAAAGAATCGAGTGAGAATTTCGTTTAAGTCGGTTAGTAAGAACGACAACTTTAAGTACACTTATTATTATTATCATCATTATTACGGATATATATATATATATAATTCATACCATTCTTCAAACTTAATCAGCTGACTATTGTTACTTTTTCTTTATTTCTCTTTCTGTCTGTTAGACTAATTATATCTATCATTACTATCTGTTTTCATTTTACGACGATACCGGAGGAATAACTGGTGAAAGGATCAACTCCATTCACAGCAGTAACAGTCCTAACACACCTCATACTACAAACCACATATAATTAATCCGAGCACTACTCCTTTTGGAGTAAACCAAAGTTACGACAGTCGAGTGGCGGGACGATCTACGCAGAAGCCTACCGAAAATCGGGAACCTATAGCTCACAATCAAGAGGCGAGCACAAAGAAATCAAATTGACTTTTACTAGCTCGTAAAAATGATATTGGATATTGGACACTACATATCGCGGTGCTTTCAAATGTGGTTATACTTTCGTACGTGTTTTCGCTGACACAAATTATTTGAGTTCTGATGCGTGATCGTTAACACCTTTGAATCAGTCAACCAGGCATCGGTTTGAAAATTAGCCAGTAAGTAAGCCATAACAGAATGAACTCGGTTAGTAACGCAATAACAACTTGCAAAACAGCTGTTATTACAGGCACTCCTATGATTCACGTGAAATATGTTACGTGGTGGAGCATTCGGCCTTCCTTTGTAATTTACATCATACCTCGTCGGAGAATGTTTCGTGAGTATTGGTAAAGTGGGTGTTTTGCCAACTCCTCAAACGATAAAATCTTCCGCTTGCCATACGTTTGTGGAGTACGTACTCCACAATTTTTTCTCACTTTAAACATGTGCATACTCTGACTAGGCAAACAATATCTAGTCTGGAGTAAATGAACTCAGCATAAAGTTGGATCTCCTTGATTGCATAACTGAAGCATTCTGTAATGTCAGGAAAGACATAAGCGATCTTACTCCCAAGCTAGTTTACAACAATTCCTAACTAATTCTTACCTATGCATCAATCATGAGTTTTTATGGCAAATGAATATTTCACCTACCTGAAACGAACCCAGTATGTATTGAAATGACGCTGATCGTTGTTCTAAAGTGCTATGGACGCCTAATTAATGCGACAAATAGGATTTGCAGCTGAAACAATGCATTAGTGCTGAATAAATGCACTACATGCCTAAATATTGCAGTGAGTACTAGAAAATCGAACTCTACATAAGATAACTGCAAAACATGAAGAAAATAAAGTCCATAGGTGCACATCCGAAACGCAGGTACTTCGTCTTCAAAACGCAGTAAAGCCTTGGCAGTAAGCCTCTCGGAAGATCAAAATATAATTGACGATGATCCCCGAATGACCAGTGAACTCCTAGGCGAATGCTTTTCTAAATCTCGCTATAATGTGGAAAAACAACTCCAAGTGCGAAGATATCGGACAGAATATTTATTACTGTATTATACTGTGAGGATTTATCAAAATTAATTTTACCCACAATCGAACTGATCCGTTATTCATTATTCTAATTAATTCTTTACATGAAGATGAATGTCTCCTTTGCTCGTACTGTAGATCGCTTGGTTGTGTACAGTCTATTGGCTTTGCATCTGCTTGGATTCAACAAATTTGTTAGATATTGGATTAAAATCAATGTGAGATAATGTACGTTCAGAAATAATAGTACGAGTGTTGTTGATCAATTGCAGTTAGATGGGAAAAAAGACGAGTGTGTTATTGTCATTTTAATCATTCAATTATGTATACAAGTCGCATTACTTACTCTCGCGATTATTTAAAATGTCTTCAACCCGTTGATTTACGAGTATATAATAACGTTAAGAAAAAGCATCATGGAGGTTGGCAGAGATCATTAAAGTGTACTCCAATGCATCAGATGACTGTTCCTGTGATTATGAGCACAAATTGCAGGTCATTATCGAACAAGATTAACTACTTGCATTCTCTATTATACTCAAATGTATATTGTAATACTGGTGTAATCACTCTTCAAGAGACTTGGCTCCATGATTCATATGACGACAATTTAGTCTCCTTAAGTGGGTTCACAATCTACAGACAAGACCGATGCAGCTCGAAGAAGAAGAGAGGTGGTGGTGTTGCCACTTTTATTAATTCTCAGTGGTCTACTGCCAACAACGTCTGCTTCAAATTCTCAAATGACAATATTGACTGTATAACTGTAAAATGTCGACCTAAACACTTACCCAAATACAACTCCACTTTTGTCACAAATATCTATATCACACCTTGTTGCAGTCCCTCAGAACTATCTATCTTCACTGATGAATTCACTATTTTTGCTGCTGCTTCGTTTGGTAACTCCTTATCCATAGTGACCGGCGACTTCAACTCCAGCGACTGCAGTTTTATTACATTGCTGGGCCATGCAAATGTTGTTAATTTCCCAACTCGACAAAATACTTCACTTGATTTAGTATTTGTAAATGATTCTGGAATATACGAAGCTCGTAAAAGAGCCCCGCTCTTCAATTCTGATCATTGAATTGTACGAGTCTTACCCAAAATTTACGGAAAGTTACACAGTAAAGCCCTCTCAAACTTGTCTAAGAAAGTTGTTCACAGATGCTACTCAAATGAGAACGTACATCATCTTAGAAACATGCTCAGTGACACAAGATGGGTGTAGTAATTTATTGTACTTGAAGTATTAGTATTTCGATCTGACGGAATTATAAGAATCTAAACAAAACCCAGAGAGGGCAGCAATCAGGAATTTGTATTTAGCGGAATTAGAATGCAATTCATATATGAAACCTATCAACAGTCAACAGTAAGTATTTTAAACAATACAGAGATAGAAATTGTCAATCACCACATCCGCCACACCTCGAATATCTCCTTGCGTATTTATAACGATGTCTCGGTTTGCTTGCAAGTCGCTTCGAGCTAACTGATTCTGTGATATTATTTCCATCAGTATTATCTGGACTTATTTCTGAATTATCTACAAAATCAGGATTATTAGCGGAATCAATAATATTATAATTGGAACGACCTACTTCATTTATTGTCACTTTGTCCAGGTGTCCGTTATGAACTGAGTGATCTTTGATGTCTAATATCTTCACCACTCGATTTCCCATTTTTTGTAGTATAATTCCAACAGAAGGTCTGTAGTTATTATCTTTGTAATAATGTACAT